CAGTTCCCATCTTACATCTCTGTAAAGTAGGATTTAATTTACGTAGAAATTAGTTGTCCAAATTATTTTTCACGAAAGTACTTTTCATTGAAATACGAAAGCTTGAGCTTGAAATTGCTATTGAAAGCTTGAATTCAAGCTACATACATGTCATGTTTATACAATAACTAAAATAACGTAACGAATGTGAAACTTCATTATAGCTTCGTTCAATAAAATAACTTCAAATAAATTAATATGCTTAATTGTTAAGAGCTATTTGTGCAAACAGCCATAGTCAAGGAAAGGTAAAACGGGCCCTTTTCTTCTTATAAAAAATAAGTAGAAGAGCTTGGTTAAAGTGTACTATATTAAAATGAGAACAGTAAGTGATAAAAGATATGAAGGGAGCGCAATTTTGGCATTTATCTAAACAACGGCTTTGATATCTAAAGATGTAATTTGCTTCCCGGTTAAAAGCAATAATCTATGAATATTTTCTTATTACATAACTGTGGTTTCCTTCTCCGTTGCTTCTTTTTTTTTAGTATTAGCAGGTTAATTAAATGAAATAATTGCGAAAACAACTGCTTTAAAAATACATCTCTTATTTTTTTCACACCTAAATTATTTCTTTTTCTCCATGAAACAACATGTTTTAACCATCACTAAGCTAATTATTTTTAGAAGAAAATTAAGTAAATTTATTATCAACAAACTGTTGTTTTTAATTTAGTATACTTTAAAATTTATTATATTGATATTTTTCTTAATTCAAATCTTTTACTTGTCCATTGCTCTTCCTGGCTGAAAAATGTGTCGATTAAATTAATTTACAGTAGTCCATTTTCTCACGTTTTCACGCATGATTGTTTACTTTAAAAACGAACACATTACATGCTGGTTTGGATTAGGATTTGAAGAAAAATTTAAATAATTAATAGTCAAATAAAAAGTATGGGATGATTATTTAAATAAAATACGTACTACTTTTTAATCTACTAATTTTTAACAGTCCTCATTGATTACACTGTTACTTTTGCAACTTTGACATTTCAAAAGCCTTATTATTTATATTCAGGTTTATCTTTTACAAAAAATTTTAAAAATTCAGTAAAAGACAGATTTTGTTTGTTTTGAAATGCTTAAAGGAACCCCATTGTTTTCAGACTTACCTTCCAAAACTTACCTAATAATACTGAACAGGTTGCTCTTGAAAATAGATTCTATAAATATATTCCAAATTTTTCCTACTAGATGGAAATTATTTTGCAATAATTTCAGGATCATTAATTTTGCAGATCTTTTATCTGTCAATCTATATTTCACACGTTTGACACATTAGTATTTAGTGACTTTAATATACATGAACATAGTTAAGAATAAATAAATTTTGGTCAGATATTTTTACCAATAAGTACGGTAGCTTTTTACGCTATCCTTGGAAAGAATTTGCTTTAGGCTTCGCTGAAATTTTTCTTTGAAGCCAGTCATAGGTTACAAGCGACATTCTGGTGAATTGCTATGATGATCTTCAAGAGCCAATCACAACGAAGAATTCAGTATGCCATCAGTAAGGGCAACTTCCCCTTTAAAGCTAATCAATTGGTAGGTACAGAAATCTGATTCGCTCTGACTAATCAATAAACGTTTTCAGAATTCCCTTCTACTTCATATATGAGCCTATATAATGATACGTAGAGAGAAGGGGAAAGGAGTCAGTTTACGCAGTTTAGATAACTTCCCCTTCCCCAAGATTTTCTTTAGCAAATATAAATTGATGAATTCAATTAAAGATAATCGATGCGCTCTTCATTTTAAATATTTAGGTATAATTACTTTCAAAGCTCTTGCGTCAAGTTTAACCATATGCGTAACTAAACTATTGTATGCGTTCTAATTAATAGTTCGCAACTCAACAACTTACTTTTTGTAACTAAACTACAAACATTACATTTCATTATGTATATATATATATAACATGAAATCTTTATGGATGTTATACAGGAAGGCAAATTTAAATTTTAGCAATATTTGATTTAAGATAATTTCTCTGGCCTATATTTATCTACTCCATAATAAAGGTTATTTTTAAAACAGTTCTTAAGCTGAAGCGGAAACGTCGGGAGTTTAAAAGATGATTATTTTATATAGAGGGTTTTTGAAACAGGATTTTAGTTCTAAAAATGTTTGCAGTAGAAATATTCTAATATAAATGCATCCATTATATTATAATAACCAAGGAGTTACGAAAATCACGATTTTAATGTTAAGTAATATACTTGTACTCAAAGAAGGCGTGAACTGAAGCATATTAAGAAAATTTTTGTCTGTAAATCGGAAGAAAGCTTTTTAATATATTACATTATGAAACTTTTAAGTTTTCTGTGTAAATTTTATTGTAACATTATTAATTAATTACTTATAATTAGAGAAATCTGCCAGTAAAATATTATACTTCTTGTGCTCACTTCTTCAGTATATGGAGTTTAATAAATTATAAAATCAAATATAATTAACATAAAGCGAAGGATTAAATTGTTCATAATCAAGAAATATACTTCTAAAACATAATTAAAATAGGGTCTTATTTAATAATATTATTGTTCTTAACTCCAGAAAAACTAGTTCTTCTTTGTTTATTTATTTATTTATTTTTGGTGCAGTGGAGGTCAATAGTTCATCTCAAAGTAAAGAAATATTTTATCAAACAAAGTAACAAATCCTAATTTTGTAATTATATTATACTAATACAGCGGAGGGATGTTTTTTACCCATTATCCTGACGCGGTGGAAATTTAAGTGTTTCAAACGCAAACTGTCATTTGCTTTTGATTTTCAAAATCAGTTACGAGTTACTGAAGCATTTGTACGAAGTACAAAGTACAGCTTTACTATTTTCGTTAAAACAAAAGTTTGCATGAAATGTTTAATGACGTATGTAACTATGTTTGTATTTGAAATTAGCCCACCAGCGGCCGAGCGGTAAAGTCGCTGAACACTGGTAGTTCGATCCGAGGTTCGAATCCCGCGAACGGGCTGGCTGCATGGGTGTTTTCGTGGTTTTCCTCATGTGTAACGTGTATACGAGCCAGTTTCCCTTAGAAAGTCCTCCACGAAGGCATCCCTCCCCTTAAGCAGATAGCTCTAGTGTGCTTTGCCATAATTAAATACACCACACCACACCAAGTATTTGAAATTATAGTTTTCAAAATAAAAGGAAAGTTTTTTGTTTATCAAAATAAAATAATTTAGTGGCCAAAAACGAGCTGTTTAGTTTCTCTAAAGGACTTTCTATTCTGTATGGTCGCTTAATAACTATTAAAACTGATTATTATAAAATGCATATTAAGATATTTATAATACAGGTTTAAACTTGCAACAATAAAGGCAATTTTAAATGCAATTTAAAATTTATATGTACATATAGATATGTATATTAGCTGTTAGTTTTTTTTTTTTTAAACTTTAAATGTTTTAGTACAATACCGAGCAACATCGAATAAGAAAAGTTTTTAAAGATATTAAATTGTTTACTTAATTTTATTCTTTAAATCGTTTTCTCTGTTTTGGGTCCCAAAATCCAAACTTTCATCTGTGATAAAAAGTTTACCCATGAAGTTTTTAAACATACATTAATCACATTAAGTCTTTATAGAATATTATTCCTTATTATCATATAATTTGCTTATATGATTTCCATTTGCGGGGAAGTTTAGCGATTATTCTCTTACTATGCTTTATCTCTCTGCGTAACTCCTTATATCTCCTACGTAACTTGAAATTACTTCATTCTATAAAATGAAGGATATTGGTTTCATTGTTAAAGTCGCTGCAGCTTATTAACAATTTTGATATTACTAATTATCTTCTTGTATTTTTAAATACTGAATGAAATGAGATATTTATTGTTGGAATGTTATTTGAGAAGTAGCCATTCTTCAAAAAGCAGAAAGCAGAGTTTTCCCATGACATTTTTTGGGCTGCTGATAGCCTAATTTTTAACTAGTTGAAAATAATATTCTTGTTACCTAATATTTGAGGTTACCTTAAAAACTTTGTAAATGCAATAACATTTAGTTCTAAAAAATACTGTCATTCTTAGCTTTGATTACTGGAATTTATTTTATTAAATGAAACACTGACATTCAGCTGTGGAGAAAAATTAAATAATTACATTTAATACGGCATTCACAGGAAAGTGACAAACGAGCAGCCTAAACGAACAACAAGCGCCTTTGTTGGCTCTGCTTTCATCGCTTGAAGGAGCATAATCGCATAAGATTTGAATGTTCCCTATGCTTGCTTTTAATTTTATAGCTGCACATAATTCTTTGGGATACATATTTTTAAGACACACTCCCGCGCTTTGTTCGTACTTTCCAGTCGACTTCTGAGCAATATAGGTTATAATGTTTTCAGTTGTTCTACTTAATTTTTGTGTAATAAGTTAATATTAAAGAGAAGCTGGAGCATTCGGACCGCGAATCTCTTCGTTTGTTTCTCAACCTTTTAAAAAAAGAATAGATAAATGTTAGTATTCTTTAGAACTGTATGTAGATGTCATAGGATCATTTCTATAGTATGATTAGCGAGTTCACCTATGTGCAGATTAACAGTTTTATCGTAAGTATGCAAGTAAATAATTTATATCATTTTGGGAGGAAAGGTTCGGAATGCTATGCAAGATTAAAACTATCTAAGACAGTACGGTAATTTATAATTTTACTAATGTTCGACACATATATCTATCTTTTCAAAGATTTCTTATTATATTATTTTCTGTTTCATGTACAGAACAGTAATAAACCCCAATGCAAAGAAAACTTAATTGCATGTTAGAGAGTAGTTGCGTTATGCTAGTTGGAATATTAGTAGCTATTTTGCTTATAATAAAGAAGTTTCTGATGTTTACGTTGAATTGTATGATACATGCTAGTAGTTACAGCCATAATGTTTAAATCTGAATAAAATTTTGTGGTAAGAATGAAGAAAAACTACATGATGTCTGAAACGAAAAAAGTATTTATTTGTTATCTTACACATTACAATACATAATGCAAAGATTATATTTGCTTTAAAATTATAATTAGTAAACCAGCATTGTCTTACTCAACAGATACATCAGTCTTCATATTTCTTGCTGAGGTCGCATTGCAGTAATTGCCATGGTTGTCACTGTTTGATGACTGACTGCACCATTAACTTCCATTAATGATCTGCAATTTTTTTTAAGATATGAATGATCTGAGAATAACATTCCATTTAATTTTAGAATTATATCAGTACAACTATTTATATGAAAAAATTGAAAATAAAGACTCGTTGCTCTAGAACTTACATATCTGAGAACTTACAAATATGAGAACTTTAGGATTTAGTACATATATTATCTTTGAACGACTCTAAACAGATTAAGTGTACATTGTCACAGAAGAATAACTGGAATAATTAATATTCGAGAATTGCAATAAGTATCTAAAGTAACTTAATATAAAAGTAATAATAATTATACACGAAAAAATATTGATCGATTCGTATATGATTTTTTTCCTTATTTACATGCACCACTTTCGTTTAGTTATTGCATAGTGATAAAGCAGGATTTTATAAATGTCACCTATTCTCACAATGAATTAAAACTGTCTTAAAAATCATCATAACCAATCCAAGCTAACTTGTGCCAACAGTTTTTGGTATCATGGTCTTAGTTATAAATTATTCACAGGAGACTTTGATTCAGTAATAGTGTGTCTTTCATATATATTTTATTGTTAGATCAGTGTTTGCGAATTGTGCATTATTTTTATTTGAATAGGCGTTAAAGTCATGTCCGTTATAAATATACGCGTAGCCAAACGACGATTCATAAGATCTTTCATTTATCTGTGAAATTATAAAAATGCGTTGTTCATCAGTTTTATAAAGTTAATCATTTAAAAAGTTACCTGTTTTCTTTATTTTTAAAAGTATTGGACGGTAGGTGTTATTTTATACCATGAGTGACATTAATAAAACAAGTTTTGAACTTCTCTAACAAGTCGATTTAAACTTTACTTGTTGTGTGCGCTATCTTCTGCATTCAAAATAAAATAATAATTAATTATTTCTTTGATATCCCTGTTTTTGTTTAATTTTCTTTAAACTATAAAACATTTTTTTATTATTTTGATATTTTTCAGCTTACATTAGTTTACGTTTTTTAAAAATATGAATTTCATGTTTAGTTTGAATTTTGTTCAAACGTAAAGGCTTAGTTTATAAGTTAGCGTTAACAGACATTGTTTTTTCTCAGAAAGAGAAGCAAAATGTTTGCAAGGTTCTTGGTATTTTTAAATTCCTTATTTCTCCTATTTTTAAGAATTTTAACTTAAACTACTTCTTTAAGGTATTATACTTTAATCAGAAGTTTTCGAATCTTGAATTGAAAATCTTGAATTGTTAGTTCTTTTTTTGTTCTATTTATCCCATTTTCGTAAAATATTTTAATAATTTGGCCTCTAATATCAATCATTTTCAGTATAAAATAACTAATTCAAAAAATAATATCTAAGCAAGTGGCGATATCTAGAATGCATGTATGGTTTAGATTTTAACAACTTTTACTCTAACAGTTTAATTAGTTTAATAATTTAATAAAACGAGGGAGGAAGAAAAGTGTTGCCATTTTTTAAATGAAATTTTTGTTAAATAAGAATGAGGAGTTTAAACATAACATTTAGTCTGGAACTATGAAACTGATCTGAATATAAATGTTCATGTCTGAATATGAATAATTTCTGTGATTTTCGAAGAACTAAATTCTAGAGATTTTTATTTCTCAAATACAAATATTTGGTAAATCCTTGTCTGAATTTTTTTTTAACTTTTATTAATATTTCTGGTAGGTTCTTGAAATTGTGACGGAAGTTAATTAATAAAGTTAAGTTACTCATTTAAGAAATAAGATAATATTTTTCTTTTTGGTACATGAGATAAACACCAGAAGGTGAAACAATTTCCCATCTTGATTCTCCGTGACGGTATAACTTCGGAAATTACATTTCATAAATTTGCGTTTAGAAATGGCTTAATTCATTTGAAAAAAAAAATTCATTCTCAGCTATTACCAAGTTTAGTCTCCTTTACACCTTATTTGGGGCAGACAAATTTTACTCGTGTTTAGCATTCATCGTAGTATTTAAATTTCTTTAGCTCCACGATTATTACGAATTTTGCATATCATTATTTAAAACTACCAGTTTTTGAAGAAAATAAATTTTTACATACTGATTTATCATTAGTTTTGTTTTCCTACCGGTATTATGTTCTTACTCTTTATCGTTTTTATCCAGTTTGTTCCCAAATACTTCGCTAATTAAGGAACCTACAGAAATAATTTTAAGTGCACTTAAATAGGACCAAAATTCGCATTTCTTTCCCATGAAATGCGAACCACGTACTCTTATCAACTAATTCAAGCTAAGCACAAAAAACTAAAACTGATATTTTAAAAATTCAAACTGATATTTTTATTATTTTGCTAAATATCACTTTTGTCATTTATTCTAAAGTTAGGTCATCAGGTTGTATTTAATTAGAAAGTTAGCTTTTATCATTTAAATGACCTGAAACAAACCACATTTAGAGAAAAAATTTGAGAAAATATGAATGGAATATTAGTTATTATTTCTACTCAATGGTTCTATACGCAAGATTTTTTATTTGTCTATTTTAAAATTAAAACAATGGTTGCGTATCTTGTCGCTATGCTCTATTTTTGTATCTTTTATTTATTTGTTTGTTTATTTGAGTAAATCTTTTTCAATTAATTTGAGTTTGCCAAGCCATTTCTGAATCAGGTGTAAGAAATTTTTTAATAATGAACATGAAGCAAAAATTAAGTTATAAAAGAGTAATGTATAAATCACCAGTTATTGTTCTTTCAAAACATTAATTTAAAAAGAAAACGATAATCTGAAGTTTGTTTCTGGCATTTTATGATGTCACTGTTGAGTTATAGAATGACATTTACTGTATAATACCATAAAAACATGCAGTCATCCTGCGCAATTAAATAAGATATTTGTGAGACTTTAAATATGGTGTGTATGGTGTACTTAATTATGGCAAAGCACACTAGGGCTATCTGCCTAAGGGAAGGGATGCCTTCGTGGAGGACTTTCTAAGGGAAATTGGCTCGTATACACGTTACACATGGTGAAAACCGCGAAAACGCCCATGCAGCCAGCCCGTTCGCGGGATTCGAACCTCGGACCGAACTACCAGTGTTCAGCGACTTTACCGCTCGGCCGCTGGTGAGCCCGACTTTAAGTATAGAATTTTAATTTTATTGCTTTAGTATTTTATCTATAAAACAGATTATCTTTTATGCGCTGGCTTTGTGTTTGCCTGTAAGCCTGTAAGCATGTGTTTGCCTGTAAAGAGAGAGAGAGCGATAAATTATTTTTATACTTTATTCTAAATAATGTTCACTTGAAAATAATGAAATAAACTAAATAAAGCAATAAAACGGAATGGCTTAGAATCTAAGTAATGACATGTTTTGTGATGTTTAGTAAATTTAAATTATTAAGTGTCGACATAATAAACGTGAGCAAACTTTTATGATTTGAAATTCATTTTTTTACCTAATTATACTTTGACTACTCTTATTAATATTTTAGAATAAATTCTATTGTTAGCAAACTAAATTTGAGTGTAATGGCATTTAATATTCATTCCGTAATTCTCGTAATTCTCGTAGACGGTAGTAATAATCAGGGTAGAGACGGTAGTAATAATGATGGAGAATTCTCGTAATTCTCGTAGACAGTAGTAATAATCATGGTAATGAACACATTTCTCCTGCCTGATGTTTGAAGAACTTGTTACGTTTTAGAGCCGATTTAGCTTTATTTGACGCATTTGCATTAAATATTGCTTTATTAAATGTTATACGCCAATTGAGCTTTGAGGAAAAATTAAAATTTCTAAGGAAAACACCTTTAAGGATGTACAAAAACGGCGTTCTTTTAATTATTAGCCGTTGTTTTTTCTGAAAAGAGCTACTATTTGTTGTTTTGTTACGTATTTAAAACTGCATTCTTACATCGACATCAACGATGTGATAGCAATGTTTACCAAAATTTTCCCCTATTCCATAGAATATAACTGTAGCAAAAATATGACCCTCAAATTTCGTCACTAGCAAAACTAGCAAAGTCACATAAACTAGCTACCATCACCTTTTTTTTTCGAAATAAATTAATGTTTGAGATTAATTGATTATATACATGTAATTAAATTGTTTGTTACATAAAAGTTTTATGGCGATAATTCCAATAAAATTTTGAGGCTGAATTTGCTATTTCATCCGCGCTTGATAAAATAATGCTTTTCTGTTTTCTCTAAAAACAGCATAACTTTCTTACTATCGCCTCTAATAATGGAGTAAGATCATAATTCTTAAAAGTGGCAACGTGACTCCAGAAACTGCGGCTTCCCGTCGACCTACACTACTTAAATGTTGTTGTTTTGATTTTTAATGTCAGTGAAGCAGATTAAAAAAATAAAGCTTTTAAAGGAAACTCAAACCTATGGTACACTGAGTGTACAAACCTATAGTACCTATGGTTACTCAAACCTATGGTAAACCATACACAGAACTTTCCTAGAACTTTTTAATATATATATATTAAAATATATTCAGCTATTATATAAATATATATATATATATATATGCATATACTAAAATCGATTATATTTGCCCATTATATGTTCATTCACAGTTTCAGGTATTAAGTTAAACATAAATTGCAGAATGATTTTTCATTACTGAAAGTTACATTTTCCGATCTTTAATAATGTTTTCCCTTAAAAATCTGTATAGTCATAAAACGAAAAATGAAAATGAAAAGAATACCAGAAAAATTACTTATCACATCATAAAAATTAAATTATTTCAAAACTTCACACTGGAAAATAATTCAAACAATGTCATAAAAGCTGTCTTTAAAAGACCACTTTCATAATTCTGTCTTCATGAAATTTAGTATATGCATTACTCATTTTCACATAATTAATTATTACTTTTGTAACTCATCTTCAGATCTTATTACAATAACGATCTGTAAGATCGAACTAGATGATTTGTACGGAAGGTGTTGCGATTAGTATTTTTTTGTGACTCGCAGTCCACAGCCATGATATATCTGAAGTAAATTGACGTCTGCTTCCATCTTATATTGGTTAGTTTCAGTAAATAACCTTTCAATACGCAATTTTACCATAGATCGACTATGATGGGGAACTTGATAACATTGAATTGCATTTTTAATATATTATTATGGGCTAGATGATAATTTTTTGAACTAAGTTTCATTGAAAACAGATTCATCATTTAATCCTCTCTCTCTCTCAAACTAGATTCCTTATTCGAACATCTTGATAATTACTCTGTTAAAAATGCGAAAGAATTGAGGTATAATTTATAGAAATAACTGTTTGTGTTCTTGGGTATTCCATAATTTTGAAAATTTTTTATTGCACAATTTCGATATCCTTTCAATATGAAGCAGTATAATAGTAATTTCTGGGAAAATCTATTTGTTATATGAGCTTCATTAAAGATATAAATCCCATTAAGTAATCCTTATTAACGTTTCAAAGCGGCTCCTAAATTGTACATCGGCTTATTATAGGAAATTAATTTACAGTTCCTGCAACTAATCCTATTTTAATTTAATATAGGATGAGGAAAGAAGGATCATATTAAATCATGAAAATCAAAACTGGCGAGTCTAATATAAGACAAAATATTTGTTAAGATGTGTTTAATTTTATTTTGAATGCAGTCTTAAGAAAAGGGCTGTGTTAAAAACTCTTAATATAATGGTAATTAAAGGTGAAAAGAAACGTTCTTGTTTTAAAAAAAAAAACTTGAAATTTAGCTTACCTAGCGTGCTGCAAAAGAGTTAACATTTAACATGTTAAGAATCAAAGAATAAAAATATAACGTTATGAAACTCTACCTGCTGTAACCTTTACAATATTAATTTAAACTCATCAAGGGAAAAAAAGCTGTAGATTTTCTAATATATAACATTTTAATTAAATACATAATTTCGTAGGTGTATATCATCATGAAAAAAAAATTATGCTCTTTAACAAAGACAATTAATAGTCATATAATTAAATACCCTAAATCTTATTTCAGTCGAATGATAATCGTTTATAAATTTGAAAATACATAACGCTTTATTATTTTACATTACATTAAATCGAATTGTTGTTCAAACTAAATTAATTTGTTTACTCGAATTGTGTGCTCGATTTCTACGACGGGCGCAGTTATACTTCAATATTCAAATGAGAGAAATGCAATTTAGAACCTGCCAGAAATAGTCATGCTTGAAAGATGAATGGGAAAAATATCGCAGCTGTTTACAAAGTTGCTTTCCGTGTGTCATCGTCACTAACCAGGAAAAACAAACTTAACTGTTTTGCTTTCTTCCTTCAATAGCAGAACTGACAAAATGAAGCAAACACCAGCTTTTTAAATCCGATTTTTTTTTATTTCTTATTTTTAGTTTCAAACTGTTCTACAGTAATGCATTAAACAAACCAAATAAAAATGTTTAATTTATCTGAAGTGGTAGATAAAAAAATTAAAAAGTAAACTTTATTGTGAAAAGCATTACTTAGTGATGCTGATATTGTGAATTTAATAGCGGCTTTCTACGGATGAAAAAGGGTTGTTAACAGTTTGTTGATAATATTTACGTAATGCAGGTATAATAAAAGTAAATCAATAAATGCATATTAGAATTCTGAATTATCCTAAATTACCACGTCATATTTCAAGCTCGCAGTTATGTCTTAAGTTTTAAAAGTAAAAAATATTTGCATTTTTCGCCATTTTTGCATTTGTACTTGTACTCTTATTCAGAAAAGTAATCAGTAAAATAGGCTTTGAGAAAAATAATAAATAAAAGTAATAAAGCGACATATATCGATTAATTTCTACCTGTATTTTATTCTAATAAAATTTCTTTTAATAACTAATATATGTGTTATATCAAGTGATGTCTTAACATTACTAGATTATTTATCTAGGTGGTATTTGATGTCCTTCACATTTCGGTAAAAGAAAAGAGAACGAGTAAGTACATAGAATTGGACTACATTACGGAACTTCGGATCGTGTATTTAATTATGGCAAAGCACACTAGGGATATCTGCCTAGGGGGAGGGATGCCTTCGTGGAGGACTTTCTAAGGGAAACTGGCTCGTATACACGTTACATGGGGAAAACCACGAAAATACCCATGCAGCCAGCCCGTTCGCGAACCTCAGACCGAACTACCAGTGTTCAGCGACTTTACCGCTCGGCCGCTGGTGGGCTACGGAACTTCGGAAACTCAAATTTGTTTAAAATATTACTGTTTCATTTTTTTAATTTATACATTCATATTTATTTTAAATTCACATATATATTCATTCCTGTTTCATATTTATTTTTAAACGCATTTAAAAATATTTTCACCCTTAATAGTAATATTTTCTGAAGAAATTAAGTTCTCATTCTTTGCAACAATAAAAATGGGATGCATTTACAAATACTTCAGACAGCTAGAGTTAAGATTTTATCTTTTAATTTTAGATACAAATCTTTATCAAATAAAAATTTTATCTTTTAGCTACAAATGATGTAAATTATGACACGAGCAACTTGTGACAACTTATTGGTGAAGGTTGGGAATTTCATGATAAATACCGTTAGATAAAGTGCTATGTAATGGTATGTCAGGAAACTAAAATAAAGCATCAGGGTACTAAAAAGAGGCTGACCTGCTTTAAAAATCTAAGTTAAAAAATTTATTTCATTCTTTACAAAGGTAAAAAGGTAAAATTAAGCTCAAAGAGCGTACAACTAAAAAACTAAATCGCCTTTAAATTCTTTTGTTATGGCAATAAGAGAGAAAATCCAAAGTAAATTAAAAAATATTCTTATGGTATAAATTTAAGGAAGTAAATTGCATACCTAATGTATAATAGCAACATTAATCGTTAATTCTATAATTTGTTTTCATTTTTAACCGCTACGTTTTTATGTTCTTTATTATGTTTTTTAATTCCAGAAATTAAGGAAACAAATTCTCAGACTAACGAAGTAATTCATCTTAAATACAAAACTACATCTAACAACAAAGGCACATAAGCACACACACACACACACAAAATAAATAAATAAATAAATAACCTATACCAAATTTATGGATGCATTCCTCTCTGTAGAATCTCATGCAGTGACTCTGTTTGCAAACCTCGTGCATTTATTCCAAAGATCATGGAAACGTTTAATCTTTATTTGTAATCATTTTGAGATGATTACAGTAGATCCACTTGTATTTGAGTAATCTGGAAAAAAGTAAACCATGAGATCCGTGTAAGTAGAATAAAAATAACTTTGCACTATTTGTGGATAAATTTTGTGGAAGAGTACCATATTTCATTCAGAAAATACCCAAATGTTGAATATCTATAAAATTCTAAAAATTATTTAATTTCTGTAAGGAGTTAAAGCAGACTGAACTCAAGACCGAAAGATCTACTTTATTATTCATCATTTTCTTTTGATCTTATCTAAAATATATTTTCAATTTGTATTTCCTTTCACTGTGAGAATAAATGAATGTGAAAAATCACAGTTCTGTGAGAAATCACAGAATGAGTTGTTAAGAAACTTCTCATAACTGAAAAATTTAATCTTCGACTTATGTTTAATCCCCAAAAATACTTATCTGGGAATGGATTTTACTCTCTGAGCTATAAATACCCAAACAATCATCACCAAATGCTGTCTGTTTAACGATATGAATCGGATGATCTACCTTGTCGGACTTACTGAATTATTTGCACATGATCTTATTGAGTCCATTCATCACAAGTTCTCCTGTCTATAGCAACTAGCCAGCTCCAAACTAGGAAATGCAAGACACACTTTTTGAATGAGGTTATGAGCTGGAGAATATAGATGTTTTCCTACAAACAGATTTGTATAATATGTTAATTTATAAGCTAAAATTGCTTTGTGCTGCATACATAAAGCTCCTCTGGCGCTTTACAAAACTAATAGTATAGTTTTGATACAGAAATGGATATTTTTGTCTATATGTCTCATATCTCCAGCAGTTTTATAACTACGTGAGAAAAACTTATCCTTCTTTCAGATGGAGTGTTATTACATTTTTCGGGCGTAAAATTATTAAACTGGAGAACATCGCAAGTTACTTCAAGTAGTTGGCTCACGGTTGCTAAATTCAACGGTATAAAATCGCCTTGAATGTCTCAAATTTCCTATTGGTAAATGATTTATTCATTAAATTACTAAAACGCTGCATCTTAGGGATTATAAGAAAGATATCGAGTTCCTAAATATAAAATATGATAGAATTGGAGATTTTACGAGGTAGAAGCTTAACAACCTTCAGCATCTGCGAGTCTGCCAACCATTTTAAATCCCTTAAATAATAAAATACGGCTGGATAGTTCTAAAGCAATTTCCTCACCCTCAGCAAAGTCCTCCGTGGCTTCAAACTTGAAGTAAAACTTCTTTAATACGAAAATTTTGGATTTATGTCTCTCAGGGAATAATAAAATGCTACACCTTCACTTAGCTCCGCTGAAATAACGCAGTTTCCTTCGAGCAATTAAACAAGATCAGTATATGTTGAACAGTACTGCAAGAAATAAAATAGGATATCGAACAGAACATTAAAAAAGTTGATTTTATAACTGTTTTATGGCTTCTCATAAATATGCGAGAGTCAAATTTTATATCAGATTCCACTTCGTAGAAGCCTGATCTTTCAGAGTATAATGAGTTTCCGTCGCAAGAACCATCGGGACCCTGAGTCATAGAAGATTGAGAACAGTGAAATTTGTTTGGCTGATTTGATATTAAAATTTGCAATTTATTGAACGGGCACCATTTTGAGATTCCTTAAACAGACTTAAGGGGCGTGAAAGAACTTTTATTATTTTATATTTTCGCCCCGCCTATTCGGAAATGCGATGAAATTGTTTGAAGTTTTAAATTCATATTGTGTATTTATATCACTCTCACCCAGTTAAATGCCTGAAAATATATAGATAAAGCATATGACACATATATCTAAAAATTTATCTATCCCTAAAGATATGTTATAAAAGTTTAATTAGCTACCTTTTATGACCATTATGTACATACATTTATCTATCACCATGACTTTCAGCATCTTTTAAAAAGCAAAAAATAAATGTCAAAAGAAAATGTATATTGGAAAATAAAACTTTAAATTATTTTTTATAATCAATGTTATTTTCTTTTCCTGCAAAATCAAGAAATCTTTTATGACCATTATGACTGTTCCTTGCCACGATCTCTTTGTGAAGAATAGAAATCAAAAGAAAGTGGATACTGTAAAACAAAATGATAATTTATTTTTTTATAATAAATATCTTACTTTCTTTACCTGTAAAGTCAAGAATTAATGGTTTCGTTATAGCCGCTTGTCAAAAAATATCTTCAGTAACAGTTGGTTGGCTGAACTAACTAAATAAAAATTATCGTATGCAGTAGAAGCGTTAAAAATCCAAATAAATAACTATGAATTTTCTTCTTATCCTTGTAGTTTCAGCAGCGGGTTAAAATATCATTTTTATTAGTTTGATTGATTTCATTAAAACCTGATTCTCTCTTGCTAAAATATTACAATAAAACCAAATAGCATTTTATAAATATTCGAAAATTATGTTTATACATACAGATATTTTTAGATAATCAAATGTATCAGAAATTTTTACGGGTAAAAAAATCTGCGAGCTTTAGAATTTTAAGTGCATATGTCTATTTTTATTACTACAGGAAAAATTTTAAATTAAGAGTGATAATAATTTTTCCCCAAATATTTCGATCGACTAAAATTCAACGTAAAGATAAAATTTGTGTTAGAGAAAGAAAATATATATTATAAGTTTCAATGAGTAATGCCTTAAATGTGAACTTCTTTTGAAGGCATTCAGAATGAATTACATTTTTAAATGCTTTCGTGAATCAATTCACAAGCAGTAAGTATTTTTTAAAGACCTGCTTAAATTGTAATTTTTTTATGTCAAGTAATGAAAAGATTTTTTTTATATGATAAAGCTCTTTTCGGAAAATTCAGAATAACGAAGTCATCCATTTAAAATACTGTAAATCTAAATTTAAAGATTTACACGCAAACAGGAAATTTAAGTGAAATAAAAATAAACTTAGTTAACTGAAAGTTATTTTATCAGAATGCCAGATGTAAAGCTTGTAATTTAAGATAAATTTAAGACGTACTTTAGCTTTACTGAAGATTTATTTAAAAGATAAATTTATCGTGTATATAAAGTCGATTTTTATGAGCAAGAGCAAATATTCTATTTTTTCCCTTTTACTATAAGTCACAATATAAGTTCACAATCTTACAATCTTATGGAAGAAAGTGTAGTAACAGGGTGTGTTTGAATTAATCAAATGTTTAAAAAAACTCACCTCCCTCACTTAAAACTTAAATAAATGTAAAATGACTATTAGCGGAAACTGATCTAAATTACAAGAAAAATTTTAGACGTCTATTGATACTCTCAGAAGTATTTCCTACCACGGACTAATTTATGTGTCAAAAGGTAATCTATAAAATAAAATAAAAAAAGAAACCTCAGACAAGTGTATTTAAAATTCACGTGAAAGAGAAGTAGTGCTTTAGTTGTCGTTTATTTAAAATTTTCAAAATCTACGCTACATTTAAAGCTTTTATGTGAAATTTAAAAAGCCTGACTTGAACTATATTGTTGTTGTGTTGTGACTTATTTCACTTGTCTGAAAGTAACATCAGAACGAGCCCACGAAATTCATCGTGGCAAGGAGTGCAAGATACCACCTTGAGCCACTAAGCATATGACAGTACGACTTTGCTCAGTTCCTCCTCCAATTTTAATGGAAAGCAGCCCGGGGATACAGGTTCGAGGGTCTCCCAACCAATTTTCCTCTACCGGCAGCCTCTCGAAAGGCTTTTAGGCTCGCTGCATATTTAGAGTGCCCTCATACCGCACAGACACTATACATTTACCAAGACCCATGCCTTCTGCGGGATTCAAGCCTGGGCCCTTTGGTGCGGCAGTCAGCATCACTACCACTATCCTGGTTGGGCGGTTAATTTATTCTGACATTAATGATATGATAATGTTTTGTACGAATTCCATAAAATTCGTGCTGTTTACTTTGAAGTGAAATTATTTTGAATATACTCGTAATTAGAATTGAAACTAGTGGTGTCGTCTTTGCGCATGCGATGCAGGCTTATAAACTTAAAATTGGAGAAAAAGAATTATTTTTCAAATTTATTCATATAGTGTAATCCGTGTTAAATGCATATAATCTGCAGTTTTGCTCTGAATCATCGATTTTAGTATCAGAAATTCGAAACAAAATGACTTGCGCGCGGCCACGTTTTCTTCTTTTCTGTCAAAACATGCTATCGAATTACCGCATCAGTCGACGAAAACATGGACATGGAGGACTTTTACTTTCCTTTCCTTCCCTTCCAACAATGCGACAGAGTGGGCAAAATGCATGCTGTCGCATTACAACTGCAAGGAGAGAAGATTCAACATTTACTAATGTTTTCAGCGCAATTTATTATTATTTCTTAGTATGCTAGAGGCGATTTTTCTGTTTCGAGGTTTGCATTATACTGTATATTTAATTTATTGCTAATTCTTAATTCTGAACTTCTTTCAAAGTTCCATATTGCACTGTATTCTATCTGTAAAGGTTTTTTCTAAATATTTGAAGCAGAACCTAAAGTGAAATATAGTTGCTTTTAAGAAACCTAATTCAACAAATATTTAACTTTTTCTCGCAAGAAAAATATTAAAAATGCCATAGCTTTTCTTCATTTAAGGGAAATTTGCAATAAATATGAAAATAGAAACAAAAGGCACGTACAAACTTAATGCGAAGAAATTAGCCATTTAATAATTTATGACTAATTTCTTCGCATTAAGTTTGTATGTGCCTTTTGTTTCTACTTTCATATTTATTGCAAATTTCCCTTAAATGAAGAGTGTTAAAGAAAAGTCAGCTGTTTGATAGTAACAGAATAAATGCTTAAACTAAGGACGAATTTTATACATTTTTGTTATCTTTTTTCAAAGTAGCTGTTTCAAGGGAAGTAAAATCTCTTTGTTATATAAGAACAAATTTAGAACTTCTTCCACATGAGCGATCTAAAAAAGATCTTTATTTAAATCAGCGAATGAAAACCTACCTTTATAAAAGTGTAATCAATGTGATGAAATTTTAAATTGATTAATAAGCTATGAAAATATTTTGAAAAACAAAAGCTGACATTTAGGGATTTTGATCAGCCTGTTACCATAAACATGCAAAATTGCATAAAATAGCTAAATCTAAATAAGAGAAGAAAAAGTGAGCAAAATTGTCTATAAATAGTTCCTATTGCTCAAAATGACGTAAATTGCAGTTCAAAAGTTTGCATGAATACCATAGAAACGAAACAGAATTCTCAGTTTGTTTCAATCAAAAATCATTGTCAACTGTTACTCTACAGTAAAAGAACTTTTTCCCTAGAAGAATGGAATGCGTATTGAAAAGTGTGAAATCAGGTAAATCTGTTAGAACATTAAAGCGTATCAGTGCAAAAATGCGAAAGGATAGGTTTTTATAAGAAATTCGCGAATTTAATGAATGAAAAAAAATTATCTTCAAAGTTAGTTATTCTAAAATTTTATTTGATAAATTTTAGAGAAAACTACTGAATTTTTAACATCCTCATTTCATTATTTTGTATGCTATGCAATATTTAAGTAATTTCATACACAACTAATGCAGCCAAATTTTACATAAATATAATACTAATACAACAACATTAATATAATTTTTTTTAATTTGATGTCAAGTAGGAATTTTCCTTTGAGGAAATTCAGAATATGCACCAGATTACAATAAAAAAAATCATCGAATTTATAAATAAATTGCAAAGGGAGTGCACAAGAACTGTTACTTCATGAATTAAAGTGATATCTTCCAAACTGATTTAAATACACGGTTTAGGGTATAGAATTGAAAAATGAATATTTAAATCTAGACAATAAAGAAAGATAAATTTCTATTCGTTTTATGCCTACGCATACAAATAGGAAAATGCGTTTCCGATTTACAGTTTTCCTATTATTCATGCTCATACTCCGGTTTATGATTCCACTTTCGCATAACAATCGATCGCATCGCTTTTATAACCTAACTGGTTTCTTATGTATATTTGTTCTTACAGACATAATGTACTTTAACCATATAATGCACTTCAAAAAAATAAGGTGTTATTATTTTTATTATTAACAGAATATGCAACTTACAAAAGCACTTGAGTTTTACTTACCGATATCTCATTAGTATTCTGTACTAGCTTTAGTTTGCGTATTGCAGGTAATGTAGTCGGCAGAAGAAAGATTTACTTCGGCTATTGATTAGAATACATCTTCTAGGCGTCAGGTCAGCATTTCATCTTCAGTTCTTTACAAGCTACTAATTCTCTAAATAAATGAAAACAGAAAAAAATTAGGGTTTGTCTTCCGAAAAATCTTCGTTATTCGAAGTTTAAAAAAAATTGAATTTTATTTATCTTAATTTTTCATTTGCTATTTCGTTATTTAACATTTTGCCTTTAAAAAGCCCTGCGTTCTTACACAGGTAATAGGTAACGGAAGACAAGGACATCAGTACTTTGCCGTCATATCTATTAGTGAGACAGGTGTTGTCCCATACTCCGTACTGTGCTAGAATTCGCTTACTGTCAATTTTACAACAATTGTCAATTGTACAACAGTACACTTGTCAAGTAATGCAAAGGAATAATTAAGTCTAAGCACAGGAAACAACTATTTTTCATTCATTTAAAAGCTGCAGTCGTTTCCCTTAATGTAGTTTTGTATATTTTGTGTACAGATGCATTAAACTAAATAAAAGAGTAGCTTTGTCGCAGTTTTAATAAATTTTATACTATCAGGCACTATGTAAAAAGTTCATAAATCATGCTGACACGATTTTGGTTATTTGTTTATTTAATGTTCGAGGAAATGTTTTGTTCGAGAAACTCTTCGACAGAGATTTTATCAACACAATATTTTCTCATAAACATCCTTTCATAAAGTTATGTGGAGGGTAAAATACCCTTCTGAAGAAGTGATGAAAAGGTTTTCAAAGATTTGATATGCATCAGCTGTAAAGAAAGGAAAATTAAATGCATAATTTTCATACACTAAAATTTCAGGAATTTTAAATTCATCATGCTGTCTATTATGAAAATATTTTTCCCTCTAAAAGTTAAATTCTTAATCTAAATTGCACACATATTTGCTTTAATAAGTAGTAGCTTTATGTAAAGTTGCAAACGTTTTTTCAATTTGAAGAAATTTGGCGGTTTAAAACTAAATTGTTTTCATTTGCATAATAAAGTTAAAAATGCACTTAAAATTAGACAAAGTTCGATCTTACACTAACGATGGTTTTAGTTAAACGTTTTTCAAGAAACATCTCTCTGCTATGTGCAAAGAGATACATCTATTTCAGAATGTCTCTCGAAATGTATATATTGATATATAAATTGAGGTAATTGATGAAGGCTAAATTTTATGCAGTTTTAAAGTTAAAATTGGCATGCTTTTCTTACATTCTATTAATGTTGGTTAAGTTTGTTTTTCAACGTTTTGCTGCGCTTTACAGTATTCAGAAAAGATAAAACTCCTTTAAAAATATTCCCCTTTTAGCATTATATCATGATGGGGAGGATTATTGTTTCATCATGCATGAGCATTTAGTTATTCTGAACCGTTTGTACGTGTTGAAAAGATTCTCTGAGTCTCTTACTCCTCAATTCTCGGGCAAACTGCCATAAACAGCTACCGAATCTAATCAATGTCCAGTCATCATCATCATGCAGGGGGGATATTAATTTCGCGATAGTGCTTAGGAATTCCGCTCAATTGTGCTTGACCGCTCTTAGTCTATCTTTTATCCCTTACAAAACCCTTAATTTCCTAGGGAATACTGTAAGGGTAAGGAAGACTTACCAGGCCCTTATTTCTGCAGGAAAAGTGCTGAAGAACGTAATTTGTGATTGGATGCCAGCGCAACGGTCGATCATCCAATCACGTTGCGAGATTTGACTTCGATCTGGGCCTCCTTTCGAATTAATCCGCACCCGGTGACTTTTATGGCAAGTCTTGGTGATATATGGGATCGGAAAGTTTACTTTCGTTCTTTTGCTTGATTACGTGATCAACCGAGCTTCCCATAATTCTTAGGGCTGATAGAAACTTCTGTATTGTGTTCTTCGACAATGGAATGAAAAGGGGACTCTTCTACTACCAGCTTCCTTCCTGCTACAAAGAAATAAATAAAAAGTTGCAAAAGATTCCCACAACACCAGAAATGAAAAAGCTGTTTTACTGCTGGCTACAGTTTCAGAGCATGTGTCTTAAACATAACTCCCCGGTCTTTAATTTTTCAGTTACAAAATAACAGTGCCAGTATTAACATTTTCCACATTCATGGATTCCTAAACTATTATTGAAACAGGAGCTTGTTGCATATGATGACTTTTTCAAGCAATTAATAACTTTAATATTTACATTTGAAATGTAAGGTTCATTTAATGTTCACAATTTAAGGTTCAGAAACAATTATTTCAAATATAGTAAATTATTACCTAAATATTTGTCTTCCGCACAAAATGCTTACGTCCGCGAATCATTACGTCCACTTTAAACAGAACGAAATTCAGTAATTGTATTAATTATATCTATATAAATTACATGTAATTAACACTTCTTCTGGACACTTCTGAGTGTATTGGCAGAACTTAAGCCAAGGTTGCGTTTGACACTGTAGAACTATACTTTTAGATTTCTGAATTACTGTGTATCAGTGTTTTACTTTTCATACATTTGGGAAAGAACCTTACGAGATTTCAATTAAAGCTTTAAATAAACGATATGAATATTGCTTCGAATGGAATTTTCTTCTTCCTTACCGCATGCCTTGGTGGCATAATTGGGAGCAGGTTCGGTTGGTATTACGGAGGTCCGGAGTTCGTATCCCAGCTAAGATGCTACTGTTTCCTGCTCCCTTAAATAAACCTAGTGACTATACAACTTTGATTCTCTAATCCTTTCAGTATGAAAGTAAGATAGTAAACTGTGAAAGTCTTCATGGAGAAGGCAGGAAATAAATAATTAAATATGAATAGTAGCGTTCTAGATAAAGTAAGCAGATTGGAGCAATATTTCCTCACGTTTTTAAGAACAACCTTTTGAACAAATAAATTTAATCACAAAGCTAATAGATTGAAAAATGTTTAGAAAATAATTTTGTTTCATGATGTAATAGCTGTACATCATGAAACAAAGAAGAAAAGAATCTTCCTAAGAAAATAATCCTTTTCCTAGTCTGAAATTCTTTCAAGAATTTCGTGAACTTCTCTAAAGCAGGTTACATGTGACAGCATGAAAAGTGATAGTAGCATATAATTTGGCATCGAAAAACCGAGAGCAAGTTGGAAAACCAAGAATTTTTCTTTATAGCATAACTCGATAGATGATAAACGGATCGTTATTTGATACACGGGCCTAATACATTAGTCATCTATGGCCTAATATTAGTTAATCATTTTTGTTCAGAGTGCACTTTATACAAACAGAATTTCAATCTGAGGACCTCTAACAGGGAAAAAAGTCTGCAGCATTTCAAGAAAGTTATCATCGTAAATTTCGAGCTGAGTGTCTCTAACATAGGAAAAAGCATCTGAGAAGGAAAATACACGTTTAAAGTATGCTACTCCCATTTAAAGTTAATACCAAAAAGTAAAAAACGTGTAGTAAAATATAAGAATTTTAGAGAACAAGATTGCTTCATGATATTGACTGCTTAAAATATTTAGAGAGAAGTATATAATTACCGAATCTCTTACTTGACGGGCTGATATTTTTTTAAATAGCTGGAGCTACAAATTTTTCATTTGTTTAACTTAAAATTATTTACTTCTTAAAATACCTTAATTTTTAACATGTTAAAATCCTTAAATGGATATATTCAAACATTACTTGGGAGTAAAAATTATATCGAGAATTGTGCTCTTATTAAGTTATTACTATGCTGTTAAGTTTTGGACTGTGAATTTGATATTTTTAGACATTCTTATTGATCTGAAATGATTTCCATTCCAAAAGACACAAATTATTTCCATGATGCAAATGAAATCACATTAATTAGATTATGCAAATGAAATTAAAATTAATACTTTATTGTTATTTAAGTTTTTCTCACATAGCTCGTGTAATTGTTGCCAACTACTGACACATAAAAGTAATTGGTTATTTTGCATTTTTCTTACTAGCATTTGTTAATTACGAAGAAATAAAGGTACATTAACTATTTCTTCAAACTTACTTTTTTGTAGTAAAAAAAAGAGGCAAAATTGCTTTATGTGACACCCAGTATAATTTCATTTTTCTCATAACATTTATTTTCTTAACTGTGTATGATTAATTTCCATAATACTTACTAACATAAAAGAAGTCCATTTTTCACCAACATGCATTATCAACGTTTTTTTCATATATTTTTTATTTTTCATTCTTTATTGTTTGCCCAACTCCTTTGCCCAACTTAGACTCCTTTGTGAAATGAGAGGCTAAAATAATTTCGTCAAAATATTTTACTTTATGCTCAGTAATAAGGTTCTGTTATTTTACGATGCTGAGCTATGCACTGAAAATGATTAGCCTAAAATTAACGAAGGAAAAATTCAATAAATTAGTTGTTTGTTGAGAATGTAAGTAAAATATAACATTTAAATGCATATTAGTTTTAATTATGACAGATTTAATACAAATCATAATCTCAGCCTTCAAATTAATTTTATTCTAATATTTTATTTATTAATTAATTTTTATTTCGTTAATTCTAATCACTCATTTTGTAGTTATATGCATAAATTCCTTAACTCAAAATTCAAGATTAGAGATACATTGGTTTCATAGAATACACCTTTTCAAAGGAACAATGTGAAATGGTTAAAATTCCAGCAAAGCACGATTTTTAAACAATTTTGTGAACGACAGTGTTAAAAAAAATATTAGCCACGATTTCTGAATCATTAGTTTAGTAAAATCCGGTTATGATGAAAAGTTGACTAAGAGACTGGTAAAGACACGATTTTTCAATTATTAAATCTCTTGCGAATATTTTATTGACTTATTCATATATATCAGATTAGTGATTTATTATTAGTTTGCAAATGCGAGGCTCCGCGATTAACTTTTTTCAGTTAATTATTTTACAAACAAAGTCTATTTCTCATAAAAGTTTTTTGAAATATTTTAAAATGATAGTTAGTCTTTGCTGAAGTTAGGAATGTCTTTGCCAACTGAAATGAGGAAAAAAAAAACTTTATTAGAATTAATATCAAACAGATGTTCAGTTTTCAAATATATTATTATAACTGTAGTTCCGAGTATCATAAGATTGTACCTGG